GATGAAGGAGGAATTTAGAGCAACATGAAAAAATGTCTAAGAACTAATCAGAAAGAAAATAAACAGCAATAGAGCAATATTCACAGCAATTACCAAAAGAAAGTGTGAAGGTAAAACTGAGTCACTGAAAATCAGTAATGGTTTCAGAGACCAGAATATGAAATCTCTTTCCTCTTGGCAGTCAACAGACTGCTCAAGTTGAATAGGGCATTCACTGCTGGATGCTGTTTTTTTTTCCTGTGTTACAAGAGAACTTGGGGGTGTAGGTATATCCATATATGACTGTGATGTAAAAACAAAAAGCATCAATAAAACATTAGACCCTCAAAAGAGTGAGGGGTAACAGATGGACATCCCAAATGCTATACTGGTATCCATGGAATGTTAAAAGAGCCAGAGAAAGATCTCCTGCTGTTGGATAGCTCCTTTGTGGTTTGTTCATGGAAAGCCATAAACAAGAAGGCTGGAAACACTGATGGGGAGATTTCCCATGCTGATAAGATCATTAAATTCATGGACTATTAAGAGGAAGTTCAGTTGATTATTCCCACCCCACTCTGAAGAGGATGGACTAGAAGCTATTTCCAAATCTTAGACCCACGTAAAATTAGCCTATAGGGCCATCTTTGGTGCATTTGGTCTTTGGCCAAAAACTCAAGGTTTTCTGTCTTGAAGTTGCTTGCCACTCTCACCCCTATGCCCATTTCCCAACTACCTCCCAGTGATCCTCATCCCTATTTAAACCTTGCACTCAGAAAAGGAAATGGTGAACTTGTTTGAACTAAGGTTCAAATGACTTAATGAAATATGTTTCAGGTTACTTGTGGTATAAAGGGAAACAAAGTTATACACCAAAAGAATTAATGGCTAATGGTGGAATTTAAGACCTCAGTGATCTGGAATTGTATATTATGGCATATGAGAACCTGATATCATGTGATATGGATGGCAACTTGCATTATTCTGCTTTTCCCCACCTATTCCTAAGGTTTACTCTAAGAGAATCCTAGGAGACATCAATTAGAATAATTTGTGTTTCTCCAGTACTTTAGGGTTTACAATGTGTTTTCCTCACAACTCAGAAGGCTGGCAATGTCATTATTATTTTCTGTCTATAAGATGGAAAAGACTAAGACTCAGAAAAGTGAAATAAACTGTACACTTTGCAAACGTCAGAATCTTCTGACTCCACAAGCAACGCCTTTGTTGACAATCACCTTGTGATGTCCTTCAGTAGTGAGCGCCCTATCAATGTAGGTATTTAAATATAGGCAGGATGGTCACTTTATTCAGCATGAGGGAAGAAAGACTCATCCATCAGGTTGGAATTGCCCTGGGTGATCTCTCAGGTCCCTGAGAGGATTCCATGAATATAAAATGCTTCAAATTTTTTTTTCTTAAATAGATCAGAGTTTACTTATACAGTTTAATATTGCCCCCTTAAAATAACCATATTGGGAAGTTATGCACTGATTCCCCAATGCCTGCTACTGCTCAGAAAATGCTTGGAAGTCCTCTTCTGGAATTGCATGTAGTACATTCTGTTAGATTGTAAGCTCTCTTGAGGACAGAGGCTGCCTTTGAATTCCTAGTGCTGAGCAGAGAGCCTGGCACATAGTAAAATAGCCCTACAGCCCTTCAAAGGCTCCAAATGTTTTATATTCATTATTTCTTTTATTCCTTACAACCCAGTTGAGTGGCTGCTTTTAGGTATTACTTTTCCAATTTTATGGTTGAGAAAATGGATTCAGAGAGCATGTAAGTGACTTGCCTAGGGTCCCATGCCTAGTAAGGTCCAGAGACAGGATCCTTCAGGTCTCTGATGACTCTAAGTCCAATGTTCTTTCCATTTTACCTCACTGTGTTTATTTTTAAATTTTTTTTATGAACAAAAATCTATCTCTTCTCCTTCCTACTTCCTCCACTGAAACAAATATGCAGTCAAACACAACAGATTCCCACATTCACAATGCTCCCCAAAGATATGTGGGTAGCATTCTGGATCCTGAGTCATCTGGAATGATGGTTGGTTGTTGCATCGATCAAGTCCTTAAGGCTTTCTATGTTGTTTGAGTTTACAAGGTTGTTATTGTATACATTGTTTCTCTTGGTTTTGCTCCCTTCACTCTGCATCAGCTCAGACAAGCCTTCTCAGGTGTTTATGAAACCATCTCTTTCCTCATTTCTTACTGCAAATAGTATTCCATTACATTCATAAAATAAATTTGTTCAGCCATTCACCAATAGATGGATACACCCTTAGTTTCCAGGGTTTTGCTATTTCAAAAGGAGCTGCTATAAATTTTTTGTACGTATGGATCTTTTCCCTCTCTCTTTAACAGGTCTAGCAATGGTATTGTTGGGCCAAAATGCATGCACAGCTGGTGACCTTGTGGGAACATTTCCAAATTGTTTGACCAATGTACAGCTCCACCAACAGTTAATCAATGTACCCATTTATCATTTTTCTTATTTGTTAATTTCACTTATTGAGTGGGTGTGTATCTCATTGTACTTAGAAACAAACCAGATACAACGTTCAATGATCGTAGGGAATTTTATTTGAAGTTAATTTTTTTTAACACCATAAAATAATGCAACTAAGTTTCTAAGACTGTTAAGTGTTTGAAGGAACCTCAGAAATTATGAAGTCCAATGGTCTTGAATTTGTCTTTACGTTTATAGCAACCATTAATTTCTCTTCAGAAAGACTTGTCATGTATCTTAGAGACTTTCAAGGAGATCCTGATCCACATTTTCCAGATAAGGAAACTGAGACTCAGGAAAATTGACTTCAGGTCATGCAACAAGTTAATGAGAAAGCTAGGGCTATAAGCCAGAGGCAAATGTTCTTTTTATTATGCTATTTATTTTACCATTTTGACTCCAGGAACATTAGGCACTCCTCAGGATAAGCTCACCATTTGAAATCTCATCTACCTAGAGATTTATTCAACTTCATTACTCAACTCCTCCACAGTACTTTCAGTCACTTCTTCCCTCTGATGGGGGGTTGGGGAGCAGAGGAATGAACTCTTCCAATCAGCTGCTCTGCTCGGTTTCACTCCAGGTACATCAGGTGCCTAAGCATGGGGGTGAGGATCGGGGGTTCTTCTCTACCCCCTTTTCAGCTCCCTTTTGGATCTTGCCTTCCCTCTTTAGATTGTAAGCTCCTTGAGGTCGAGAACTATCTTATTTGTATCCCTAGTGCTTTGAATAATGCCTGGCACATTGCAGGTGCTTAATAAACATTCACTATTGAGTGTTATACTGCCTCCATTTTTATGTCCCTAAACTAGGTTTGAAAACAATTCCCAAATAGTTTCTGACATGGATCATGGATTTAGGGCTGGAAGGAACCTTAAAACTTTCCATGTTGTTTGAGTTTACAAGGTTGTTATTGCATACATTGTTTCTCTTGGTTTTCCTCCCATCACTCTGCATCAGTTCAGACAAACCTTCTCAGGTGTCTATGAAACCATTTTTCCTCATTTCTTACAGCTAGTCCAGCTCCTCCATTTTATAGATGAGGAACTGAGTCTAAGAGAGTTTAAGTGACTTGCCCAGGGTCATGCATCTAGGCAGTGTCAGACGTGGTATCTGAACCCAAATGTTTCAGACTCCAAGTTAACACTCTACATACACATGAGTAATGACATTAGTTATGGTCCTTCTTTGAAAGAAAGCAGAATTGGATCCCAAAACTGATCTTTACCATCTATATGACTTTGAGCAAGATGCCTCCTCTGGTCCTCAGTTCCATCTTTAAAATGTGGATAATCAATAAAGATTGTTATATGGTCTTTTTTTTTTTTAGGCAATTGGGCCTAAGTGACTTGCCCAAGGTCACACAGCTAGTACAAGTGTTTAGTGTTTGGTCTGAGGTCACATTTGAACTCAGGTCCTTCTGACTTCAGGGCTGGTGCTCTATCCACTGCGCCACCTTGCTGCCGCTGTTACATGGTCTTAAAGATTTGCCTAGAGCAGATTAAATGAGAGGTTAAATGACTTGTCCAGAATCAGAAAGCCAGTTTGTGTTAGGGGTAGGATTTGAACCCAGATCTTCCTGACATTTATGCCCGTTTCTTATCCACTATACTTTGAATCATGGCTCAATTCATGGTTTCATTGATTGTTGAGATTTCATTAAGTACAGAAGAAAATATTAATAGGGTAGATTAAATTTAAAAGTGTGATATTAATTTTTTGTGAATAGCCAACAATTAAATATTTATTAGCTTGCTCTCTCTCCCTCCCTCTTTTTCCTTCCCTCCCTCCTTCTCTTTCTCATCACACACACATACACACACACACACACACACACACGTGTGCCCAATAATACATGCACCAACCTCACAGATATGTTGTGAAGAAAAACACTTCAAAAACTTGAAATTAACTAGAAATAGTTTAATAAACTTTATAATAAACTAGAAATTAATTCTGGCCAATTTGTTAAACTATCTTCTTCTAGAGTTTATGGCCATGCTTCATATGGATTCAGAGAACAAATCATGCTCAGTACCATAAATTCTTTCCTTTCTCTATAGTTTATGTACCAAGTTAAGTGACAGCGGCAGGGAAAGGGGGGTAAGAGCATCACAAAATGAATGAATGAACAAAGAAATGAATAAATGAATGAATGCCTGAGCAAGTGAATGAATCAATGCACAAGTAAATAAATACCATAATCTGTGGTTTCCTCCCCCTCTACCCCTCATACCTCATGCCCATCTCTACTGTCAGGGGGCAGACTGGACAGACAGCAGATCAATACAAAAACACAAGAAGTATCACATCAATGTTTTTAATGGCTGGCAGTGAAATGTCAAAAAACAAACAAACAAACCCACAGCCTTCTGCAGTTCCATTTCCAGTGCCTAGTTTCAGTACTCGAGGTAAGTTAATACTGGTAAGGGATTTCCCACCTGCTATAATTATTGCTTTTGTCTTGCCAACAGCTGCCCATGGCCTTGGAGCACAGGGCCTTGTCACAGTAGAGGGTTCAAGAGGGGCAGAGCTGCTGGAGGGGAAGAGCAAAGTGATTCTTTCCAGGGGAAGGAGTACAGATGGGAAAACGTACCCCTAGGAAGAAGCAGGCAGGTCAAACCCCCAGAGTCATTCCTGGCAGTTACTAATATCAACCTCCCTTCTCCATTAATCAGGAACTAAGAAGTCACCCTCTCACACTCCTATTTCTTGCCTCTCCTGGTGGCTCTAGCCCAGGTAGATTTTAAAATCTCCCCCAGCCTTGGATTTTTTAAAAGCCTGGCCAGTTTCAAAGCTGTCAAAGGATTATGGAATAGCAGAGTGGTGGGGGTAGGGGGTTTCTTAGCATTTAAATCAGGTGATTGCTTTGGTAAGAAAGACTCCCAAAGTAACTTAGAAATGGACTGGAGGGAACTAATAATGTAGCCATTATTGGCTAATAATAATGGCCATTCCCTCTTCTACTCTGGCCCCAACCCCTAAATGGCTCTGAGAAGTCAGTCCATGACCAAAGGGGCCGCACACCTGGTTTGGTCTTAGCTGATATGGAAGCACTTTGGACATCATTGCTGTTACTGTTGACAGCATGACCCCTTCAGGACTTGAAAGAGGCCTGAACTACTCTTCCCTTCAGTGGCTGAGGGGGCCGGAAATTGTTCACCATGCGGACCTTCTCATCATCCTCTGCAGTAAAAAGGAGGCTCCGGAATTTTTCCATCTGTGGGAAGGCAAATCAGCAACACTGGCTTAGGCTTACAAAGTAGGCGATGAGTTCTGGCACGGGTGTAAATGTGAAAGATGAGACAGAACTGGGCTTGTGGTATTCTCCGATCCCTGCATTCTTTTCTGTCATACCCATGCAAAAGCAATGATTTCCCCATTTCATATTTATTTTGTTGGCTTTTGGTCCCTGGGTCCCTAGTTTTGAGAGGCAATCCCAGCAAAGTTTGCTCAGCAAAACTTCCATTCTGTTTTCCTTTCTCAACTTTTCCAGTAGGGACCTCTGAACTCTAATTTGTCCTCCAGGCTGCTGCCCACTCTCCAACCCTACTTTTTTTCCATATCTCCTCAAACTCTTCTAATCCCAAACCATTGGAAAAAGGCTTAGCATGTTCCATTCTACTGTCCAAATTGTGGAGAAAAAGTAGCAAATGGCACAGAGAAATACCACCACCACCACCATTTTATAGTATTTCCCTCACGATTTTCAAATCCATTGTTTCCAAATGGGTGGGCTCTCAGTGAAATGCAATAGTTCTCATTGAGTATTTCTCTAACCACTTAGGGGTTCATGATCATAGTCTAAGCAGTAAATAATTACCTAATTATGTTACAAATTTATTTTTCCTCTGTGACAACAAGCATGCACATGTTTTGAGCATTATATGTTGGTTTCTACAGAGATTTGAGACCATCAACTTCTTTGGAGCAAAAATTATTGCAGTTACTGTGAGAATTTAATGAATAAAATCTAAAAAATATTATGAGTAGGATGAATAGAACCTGGGAGTTCAAAATAATCCTTTTTTATGTTTTTAAACAAAAAACATTTGGGAATCACTGGTGTAGTGGAAAGAACCATTTTCAGAGGTCTCTGTCTATGGTAGGCAGCTGGGTGGTGCCATAGTGCATAGAGTACTGGGCTTGAAGTCAGGAAGACTCTTCCTGAGTTCAAATCCGGCCTCAGAAACTTTCTGGCTCTTTGACCCTGGGCAAGTCATTAACCCCTATTTGCTTCTGTTTCCTCATTTGTAAAAATGAGCTAGAGAAGGAAATTGCCAAGAAAACCCCAAATGGGGTCATTAAGAGTCAGACACAACTGAATTGTCTGTGGTCCTGAGTCCATGAGATTATAAACTTCTTGAGATCATTTGCCTCTTTTTGTATCTCCAGTGGTTAACACAGTGCCTGGCACATAGTAGGTGCTTAATAAATGTTTGTTGATTGACTGATTGATTGAGTCCTAGTCCTTTCTAGTTCTTAGTCTACCATTACTAACTCTAACCTTGGCCTTGACCTCTCTGGGCACAGATTTTCTCATCCAAAAAATAGGAATAATATCCCTTCACTTCAACAAACATCTGAGCACCTCCATCTAAGACATGGTGCTAAATCTGGGGAATAAAGGACAAAAATAGAACAGTCCTTGTTCTCAAGGCTCTTCTGTTCTACTTGGCTTTCACTACTCACGTATGCTCCCTCCTAACATTTTTAGAAGGTCAAATGAAGTAACAGATATCATTTTCTTTGTAACTTTCATTCAATAAAAAAAAATGGCAGGTCTTATTGTCTTTAGCTCCCATTCACCTAACCCCACTCTACTTCCATTCTATCTCCTATAGTCTGATTCGCTGACCATTAACTACTCCCTACTAAATTGTTGGTCAATAACAATTCAAAATGTGACTCTGGCCTGGGCATTTTAAGATGCATTTTAACATGGGGCTCTCTAGTTGAAGCAAAAATCTAAGGCCCATGCAGATTTTCCTTAAAAGTTTCTTCTTAAAACACATTGAGATTGTACTTGATTTGGATTTGATTCGCTCAGGAGACTAAGGGTTGGCCTTAACATGGCTTCCTGGTGATTGGAGGACAAAAACAGTCCAGGATGGAAGCCAAAAGAAATTAAGTTTCTATCTTCATGACATCTCTCTTATGCAACAATTTCTCTCCCTTCACTACCATCTTACTTCAGACTCTCATCAATAATCTTGTCCTTCTGGCTTTATGGGACATCATTCCCCCTCCTTCACGCTGAGATCCAGTCAGACTAGCCTCTGTTCCTCACCCATGGCATCTCCCACTTCTGTGTTTTTGCATTAGTCATTTCTCATGCCTGGAATATACTTCCTTCCTTATCTTTACCTCACAGAGGCCCTTTCTTCCCTTAAGATACACCATCATCTTTTGCATGGAGGCTTCCCAATTCCCCTGAATGCCAGTGACTTCCCTCTCAAACACCCTTGTTATAACTACCCTCTGTGTGTGCATATATATACATAATAATTTAACAATCTGCTTTCAAGGAGCTTACATTCTAATGGTAGAGATAATAAGTACATACAAAAATATATACCATAAACATAAAGTTAATAAATATATATATACTCTTATAGGGATACAATTACATATAAAAATATAGCATAAATTTAAAAATAATAAATACATATACCCAGATAACAAATAAATAATAACATATATACTTATACATGTGTTTATTACTTATTATGTTATATTATTGCCTTCATACTCATGTGTATACATATGTGTATATATGTGTGTACATGTGTGTATGCATACACATATACAAGTGTGTGTGTATATAAAATATTTATATGTACTTGTCAGCTCTTTGAGAGTAGGGATTGTCTCATTCCTTGCACTGGTATCCCCAGCACATGGCACAGTGCTGGGCATGTAGCAGGAGCTTAAATACTTGTTGATTAGGCAACTTGGCCAAGATCACATACAGGTAGTGAGTAGTAAGCTGGCATCCAAGCCCTGGTCCTCTGACTCCTCCAAACGCAGGGCACCTGTACCAGGCTCTCATAATGCAGAATGCTAGACCATGAAACTTGTCATCTGGGGGTGGGGGGAGTCCTTAGCTGACTCAAATCATATCATGGACACTCATCTTCATATAAGGTCAAGGCTGGCGTGATGTCCTGTCCCCTGCCCCACCCCTCTGTCGTGCCACCCACCCCTGTTCCTCCAATCCCTTATGACTCACCTGTTTCTCTGAAATTGTGATGGGCTCTTTAAGCACTATCCAAGTCACACTCTCACTCAGGGGCGGTGTGGTCAGTGACCCCGGGTAGGTCCAGTAGTGGAGGTTCACTGGTAGAAGGCATTTGGGATTGAAGCTGTTGAACTGGGCTTTGGTTCCCTGGGAAGGGGAGTCAGCAGAGACTCTGGTTTAGGATCCTACAGGAGTAGTTTAGAGCTTGGGGAAGGTGAAAACAGAAATCCCCGCCTAAGGTTAGCCCACATAGATTTGTGGTTTCCTTGCCCCCTTATGTCACACTATAGAATTTATTTCTGTGGTAGAGTAAAAAGAATATTTATCTAGGAGTCTGGAGACCTAACTTAGGTGGTCCAGTGGATTAAGCACAGGAACTGGAGACAGGAAGACCTGAGTACAAATCCTGCCTCAGGTACCTACTAGTTATGTGACTCAGAGTGAGTCCCTTAATTTCTCTAAGGTCCTTGGGAGGTAGCTACTATTATTACCCCCACTTTACAGTTGAGGAAACTGAAGCAGGCATAGGCTGTGATTTTGCCAAGGTTATACAGCTAATGAGTGTCTGAGGCTGGATTTGAACTCAGATCTTCCTGACTCCAGGTCTGATCTTTCCACAGCAGCCCCTAGCTTGTGGGATCAGAATCAATCTAATCCGTCTTGCACGAGTCCTTCAAATCCCTTATAGTTGAAAATAGCTATCTTTCTTCCTCCTTGCTCCCCCCACACCCACTCTAAGGGCTACATGCCCAAACACATTCACAATTATAGCAAGTGGCACTTTGGCAACTGAAACAGATTTGGAGAAAGGACAAAGAATGCAGAAGAAAGCCCCAAAGTCTATGAAATACTCACTTTGAATCTGACCATGTACAGTGCATCTGTCAGTCTGTTCATGCTGGCATGTTCATCTCCAGTCTGGAATTTACAATGGATAAAATGGTATTGAGAATGTCTTCCGGGCATGTTCATTTCTGGCCCAGGATTCAGCACCCTGGACACCTCCCACAGTCACAAAGGTGTTGACACAACACATCCATGTCCTCTTCTATCCTAACCCCTGGGTGTGCCTGGGGTCTGTCGGTACAAGGACAAAGTTCAGTCAACCCTGGTGAGGAGGAGGAGGTGACATTGCATGGCTTATAGTAGGAAACTGACCCCTTGCTTTCTCCAGTATGAATCCTAAAATATTAGAAGGGGAAGGAAATTTAGAGAACATCTTTTCCGACCTCTACCCAATACAGGGATCTCCAATACAGCATCTGGGTAGATGATCATCCATGATGCCAGGTACAGTGGAAAGAACATTCTGATTCTGGAATCAAGAGCTGGATTCAAATCCTAGCTCTCTTATTTACCTCCTAAGTGACCTGGGGAAGTCACTTCCCCACTTTGGGACCCAATTTCCTTATCAATAAAATGAAAGGTCTGGACTAGGGTTCCTCCTACCAAGATCAAAGTCCTACAAACCTATTGCAACCTTAGAGATGAGGAAACTGAGAGGAGATGTTACTTGCCCATGATCAGACAGTTAATGAAGAACCAGGCTAGATGTTAGGTTCTCTGATTGCCAGGCTATTATCCTTCCCACTGTATTACACAGGGATTTTAAGCTCAAAGAAAGTAGCAGGGGGAAGTACACTGGGTTTAGAATATGAGAACCTGGGCTTAAATCCTATCTCTGGCAATTACTCCCTGTATGACCCTGGACAAGTCACTTCCCCTTTGTGGGCCTCAGTTTACTTATCTGCAAAAAAAGGGTATTGAACAAGATGGTTTCGTAAGGCCCCTTCCAGCTCTAATATCAGTAGAGCTATATTCTACAGACCTTGTGCTGAGATTTCTAGGAAATTATAGGAGTGGGTCAGGAATACACAGATATCTGGACCACCTGAACCCAGATTTAGATTTATTTTTTTTCCCTTTTTTTTTTGGCTAGGCAATGGGATTAAGTGACTTGCCCAGGGTCACACAGCTAGAAAGTGTTATGTGTCTGAGGCCGGATTTGAACTCAGATCCTCCTGAATCCAGGGCTGGTACTCTATCCACTGCCCCACTTAGCTGCCCCAAGATTTAGATTTCTTGACTCTTCAACCAGTGATCTTTCATCACTGTGATGTCTGGCCTAGAAGAAAGTTGAAGGTATCAGCTTCCCTCTCCCCTTAACCCATGAAGAAGCATCAAGTGCCATGGAGAGAATGGGCAGTATCATTGTTCTCCTCTGCTCATCCTTGGGATTTTCACTAAGTGCAGGCAGGCAAAAGAGAGAAGAACAGGGGGGAGGGAGGTTGGAGATGTTTACATAAACCTAGGAGTCATTGCAAGCCCCTCCCTCTAGAAAATTCACTCACCTCCAGGAAGATGCCAACCACAGCCAGGCCATCTGGGGCTGCAGCTGCTTCTGTGAAGGTCTTGTATTTTTTTCCATTCCAGTGGACCAAATGGAGCTGTGGAAAGGGACGGCCATACAAAAGCTAACTCTGGTCGCCTCCAGTGGCTCCTCTGTTCGGGGCCCATCTAACTAGTGATTTATGGAGGCCAATATGTTCCCTACCTTCTGATCCCATTCTGGCCCCTCCATCAGGACATATTAAGCCAGGCTCTTTGGTTATCATTCTAGTGCTTGGTTGGTGGATGAGGGTTGTCCAGGGTTATCCTTGAATCCAACCATTTCTATATAATGGAAACCCTCACTAGATTTGGCAATCAGGCCTACGTTTGAATCCTGGCTCCAACATTTACTGGTTGTATGACCTCAGCCAACTCATTTCATCTTTCTAGCCTCCATGTCCTCATCTATAAAATGGGAATAATAATCATTGCCCTACCTATCTCATGGAGCTGTAATGTGAAAGTGTTTTATGAACCTTAAGGTACTATAGAAAATGTGAGTTACAATTATTCTGGTCGCCTTGATGTTACATTGGAGGCAGGTGTTATCAGCGTTTATCTTTGTTGACCTTTTCTACCTAATCTATCTCAAGTCTGGACCAATCTCTTCTCCTTCCATTTTATCACAACCTGCTCTAGTTAGAAAAGAATATAATGTGGTAAAAAATAATTGCACTTAATGCAGAGGTATCTTGGTAAATGATTAACAATCAGGTTTCAAAAAAGATTACACATCATACACACTTTTAGGCTTAATTTGCATTATTTTCCCAAATCACTTTCTTAAGTCCACACAATCAACAACAAATCAAGCCCTGATCTATCACACTTGCTGATTTCTGAGGTGCAAATGCTCACACTGAAAATGTAACCATGAACTCTTCCAGTCTGAGGGAGCTAAAGCACACCCTTGAAGGTGCTGATCTCACAGATGGTTAAGGTCTTATTACTAAATATAAGTCACCCAAGCACTGTCCTCACAATAGTCTTGAGATTGGAGTCAGGAGGACCTGAGTTCAAATCTGACCTCAGACACTTGACCCTGGGCAAGTCACTTAACCCCCATTGCCTCACCAAAAAAGCAAAAAAAAAAAAGTCTTGAGAGGTAGGTGATTGTTGTTCAGTCATTTCAGTCATGTCTGATTCTTCGTGACCTCATTTAGGTTTTTCTTGACAAAGCGGTTTGCCATTTCCTTCTCTAGTTTATTTTACAGATGAGGAAACTGAGGCAAACAGGGTCAAGTGACATGCCCAGGGTCACATAGCTAATAAGTGTCTGAGGCTGCATTTGAACTCAGGCTTTCCTGATTCAAGGGCAGGCACTCTATCCTCTTGAGAGGTGGGTAGTTCAAAGAATTATTATCGGGGGCAGCTAGGCGGCACAGTGGATAGAGTACTGGCCCTGAAGTCAGGAAGACCTGAGTTCAAATCCAGCCTCAGATCAAACACTTGACATTTACTAGCTGTGTGACCCTGGGCAAGTCACTTAACCCCAACTGCCAAAAAAAAAAAGCAAGAAACATTAAAGAATTATTATCCCCACGTTACAAATGTAGAAACTGAGGTCCAGAGAATAACTTTCTTCACAGCATCGCTGTGAGCTAAGTAGAGCAAGGATTATTGTCCCCATTTCACAAATGAATAAACTAAGTCTCAGAGAAATAAAGTGACTTGTCTTGTGTCACAGAGTTGGAACCCAAAGATTTACATTACTAATTGTGGAATTTCAAGCAGAGTAGAAGGCAGAGGGTGAAGAAGGAACCTTCTCTGGGCCCCTCAGTCATAGCACATGGTGGGAGAAGGTATGGTTCTTTGTTCCCCCTATGGAGAGGGCAGAACCCTGGTCTTACCTCACTGGAGAAGGACTTCCCATCCACTGTGTGTTCTGAACCTAAGCTGTGCTTTTTCCCCCAGTGAAAATGGAACTGCTTCAGCCGGTAGGGTCCATCCAGAGGGCCCCCATGCACCACTATGGAGAGAGACAGAGGGAAATCGAGAACTCTCAGATCTTCATTTCCCTTAAGGAAATAACAGTATAAGTAAGATGGCACTTTACTATTCAGAAGGCCTTTCTTACAAAGATTCTTATCTAACACTAGAAGGACATTTACCAGATAAAGATCATTAGTATTTGTATGGTGCTTGATGGGTAGCCCAGGGAGAAGGGGAGCCAGTGAAGGTGGGACTGGGATACTTCCCAAGGGATTAGAGTGAAAGTCCAGCTCCAAAGGAGATGCCTCAGCCTCCCCTCCCCCAATCACAGCAGATTAGCCAAGAAGCTAATGATTAGCCTAAGGGGCTCCTTTCAGTGTCTTCTTTAGGCTACATAGCTCACAAAGATGAGGAAACTGAGGCTCAGAGGTCAAGTGATTTGCCCCTGGGTAACATACCTAGCCTTTAGATTTTGAGATAAGCCAATACACTATAAAGCCTGCAGTGGATTTAGCCCTAGAAGGGAACTTGAGGACAGTCTAGTCTAAGGCCTTTATTTTATTAAAAAAAAAAGGAAATTGAGGATTGGAGAGGGGAAAAAAACTTGGCCAAGCTTACAAGTGGTTCAGAAGAGCCCAACATCCTCGAACAAATACAGTTTCCCTTCCTCTACCACATGCTGTCTCTTATCAAAAGTCTCCCTGGGAGATGGTACCATGGCCAGCAGCAGCCTATGCCAGGCTCAGAGATAAATCACAAGGAGGAAAGGAACAGGGATACATTTTTCATTTGGAAAATGTACACTGTCCTAATTCTGGTTGGCTCTGGAGCCAGCCAGAACTGGAAATCCCAGGGTGAAGAAGGGGGCTGTGTCCCCATTCAGGTCCTCCCTCTCAACCCACTAAGCACATTCCTCTGAATGAGCCAGACAACTAGAAGGAAGGTTAACCCTTGCAGGCTCTAGTAACAGCCAGGAAGTGTCTAGTAACAGTCGGCTTCCAAACAGGAGGCAGCAGTTGATTAACAGAGGGACTCACTAGTCTAGAACTTCATTCTGCTACTTTGGATTCAAAGCTCTCTTCCTCCTTTCTACACCTGAGATAACAAACGTCATCCCACTCCTTCCTGCCCTCTCACATAACAAGCTGTCCCACTTACCAGTTTCTCTCCCTGACTCAAGCCAAGAAGGAAGCTGGGAGAATGGCTGTGCCAGTCCTCATAATGTTGAGGGATGTTCCTTTGGCTTGGAACCCCCACTTTCCTCCTTCACTCATGCTCAAGAGGCTCCAAGGGGTAGGACACTAGATCTGTAGGTCCTTTGGGTCTTTTATTCTAAGGAGGGCCTAGAGCTGTGGGGGACAGAGGGATGGCAAGGGCTGGAGGAACTGGGAACAGCAAAAGAAATCCCTGTCTACCAGATAGTGGAGCTATATTTGGAGCAAGAGACTTTGGCTTTGTCTGTTCACAGAACAATTACGGTACAATGGCATGGCTGTATTGTATTGTTCTGTTGTCTTTGTTCTGATACTGCTATAACAGCTAGCATTCATTCGGCACTTTAAATATACTACCTCATTTGAGCCTCATAACAATCCTGAGAGATAGGTGATGCTATTATCCCATTTTAAAGATGAGGAAACTGAGGCAGACAGAGGATAAGTGATTTGCCCAGGGTCACACAGCTAGTAAATGTCTACGGCAGGATTTGAATTCCAGTCTTTGTGACTCTAGGTCCAGCTCTCTATCCACTACACCACCACTGGCTGCCCACCTATATTGTGTTGTGGTATGGTTATCCGGTCACATTTCTATGTTGTTGTACTGTTGTGTTGATGTGTTGTTGCAATAATAGAGTGTGTTCTCATTGCCGTGTTGTTCCTTAGTTGCAGTCTCACAGCACACATGCTATCGTCTTTGTATTGCTCTGTGTGTGTGCACACACGGGAGCGCTCACGATTGTGCAGGACAGTTATATCTGGGTGTTTCTATGTCACTACCCATCTCCCAGGGCTGTTGTAAACAAACCCTAACGTTCCAGAAGGACATGAAATGTCAGAATTGTTGTATACTTGGGGTATTTCATTGTTTTCACAAAAACATGTCTAGTTGTGTCTATTTGCATTATCTCTTTGCTGTGTTATTGTGCTTCTTTTGTATCTTGACTTCTCCAGAAAAAATAAGCCGGTCTCAGGGGTCACTATAATTGTACTCCCCTGGGGGTTAGGTTTTATGTAGCCTCAAGGGTACTATATCAGCTTCCAGTTCTGGCTTAGGGCAGCCTCTCCTGCCTCCATTTTTGTCAGCAAGCCCATACCCCGGCACCAGTCTCAGAAAGAGCCTGAAAATGCCCAGTTTTGGGTGGGCCACACGAAAGTGACCGCGTCTACAAGCAGATCACAACACGGGAACCTGTGCCAGCCCCCAGATGCCAGCCAGCAGATGCTTCCCATCATGGCTGAGATAGATGCGGCAAGCCAAGGCAAGGAGCTGGCTCTGGGCTGACTCAGAGAGGGCACGGGATTTGAAGGAAAATGAGCATTAACAATCAAGTCCACACTTCATCCCAAGGACAGGCTGAATTTGTTGCTGGTCTATTTTCCTCATCGGGGACAAATGAGGACAAGACGTGCTCCACTGACACTCCTCCCCTATAACGTTCTGAACCAGGGTAGGGCATTCATTGCCCAGCCTGGTCTCCTTCCATCTGGAATGGGGCCAGGGGCGACCCTTGGCAAAATCAGGAAGTCATAAAACCATAGGACTTAGAAGTAAAAAAAATAAAAATTTTAAAGCAGGAGTTCTTTTTGGGGGGGGAGAGGCAATTGGGGTTAAGTGACTTGCCCAGGTCACACAGCTTGTGTCGTGTATGAGGTCACTTAACCCCATTGTCTAGCAAAAACAAACAAAAACCCGCTTTAGGAATAACCGAGGACTACCCCCTCTTTCTAGTGGAGAAAACTGAGACCTAGAGGGAAATGGTTGGTCCTTGGCCATATAAGTAACAAAGGAAGGATGGGAATGCCAATACTAGCTAGATCCAATGGAGTCTCCACATTATGCCTTTTCCTCAGACAATGAAGTCTAATCTGTGGCACCCCAATCTCCTTTTTCCTCATGCCCTTTTTATTTTATACCCATGATCATTTTTAAATGAGGCTGATCAATGACTAATCCTCCAAGCCCTGCTGAGAGAACTCTGGGAAGAGCCAGCTCCTGAAGGTTCCTATTTTTCCTAGTTTTGTCACTTTTTAATCAGAGAGTAGCGCTCAGGGCTCACCCCCTGGCACTGGGCCCTTTTAAGGTGAGCTCCGGTAACAGGCTCCTATTTCTCCCTGAAAGGGACAGAGAGCTTCAGGCCATTAGCTGAGGGGACTCTTATACTACCTGAAGGTGACTAGAACCTGTCTGAATTTTAATTACTGGATTGAGTATCAAGTTGGCCCCAAGTCAGGCCACTGAGCTGGTGGTTCTTATTGGATAGACTACTTGGAAGATCAGGAAAGGAGAGGGGCATGAGAAGTACATGCAGCTGTGAACTGCCATGTTTCCCTTCCCTTTATTGGCGCCCTTATCTTTGTTATATGCAGACTGGCAGTATCAGGTTTAAACTCTTTCCCCTGCTGCCTTGGTAGGGGAGAAAGAGCACTACATTTGGGGCCAGGAAATCTCATCTTGAATCCTGGCCAGACCACTTATTCTCGACTATGAGGAAGCCATTTGCCCCATCTCAGCCTATCTGGAAAATGAAGGGGCTGGATAAGATTAGGGGTCTTAACCTGTTCTGTGTCCTGGATGCCTTCGGCAGCCTATGCAAACCTTCTGATCCCTTTTAAAGGCATAAAATACACAGAATTATAATTGAAAGAATTTTTTTTTTGGCAATTGGGGTTAAGTGACTTGCCTAGGGTCACACAGCTAGGAAGTGTCAAGTGTTTGGCCTGAGGTCAGATTTGAACTCAGGTGCTCCTGACTTCAGGGCTGGTGCTCTATCCACTGAGCTATCTAGCTGCCCCTATAATTGAAATACATTATATTGAAATATAGTTAGCAAAATGTTAAAAAAAAAATGCTCCCAGACCTCCAGGTGAAGATCGCCTGGATTACAGGGACCCGGTAGGATTGCTTCTAGCTCAAAAATCTTTTAATCTAGAATGGCTGTCCCTCCGAAGTGGGCTAGAGGAGCATTTAACTGGAACTAAGCTTGGGCTCTAAGCCCAGCCTAGGAAACATGTTGTAAGCTGCCGTACAAATGTGGGCTGTAGGGATTATTATAGGGAGTCCTTCCAGAGAGCGTTTGCAGAAACAGCAGGAGAAATGGGAACGGGTACCTTGGTCAGAAGCTAAAGGGTAGCCAGCAGGTGTCTAAGATTAGAAAGATCAGAGCTGGGACTGATCCACATGGGTAAAGGGAGTTTCCCAATAAGGATGAAATCTGAGGGTCCAACTTAAAGAAGTTGAGGGAGCAGCCTTCTAACCTATTCTAGTCTGTTATTCATCTTTTTAACTTCTTCAACAAACCTCTCTCATCTAAGTTAAGAGTCCAAAGCCCTGTTCACCCAACTTGAGATCTGACTGGAGAATCATTTAACCTTCCCGAACCCTACAAAATCAGGCTCCTGATTTCCTGATGTGTTGTATCAACTGGAAAAAAAAAAAGGATTTATGGTTATTTGTTAGATATTCACAAAGGTGTGCCGGAGTCAACTCAAACCAGCTCATGAGAGCTGATTGTTACATTTTCAATAAAAGTACCTCAGAAATTGGCAGATGCTGCACCTGAGGGCTTGATATGGTTTTGTTGATTGTTTAGACTTACGAACCTGATGGAGAGAATGTTAATAATGCACACTAAACTTGAAAGTATGTCCTGTTTGTTTTTTTTTTTTTTTTAGAGATCTGGTTGTTAAACATTTACAAGCACAGTTGTGGGCATTGGTCCATTTCTGAAGTGTCCAAACTCTGAACAGGGTATGTGACAATGGAAAAATACTAACACATCCCATAGTCCCAATGGGGATGCCTAACACTAAGTGTCATGGATCCGCTGTAGGCTCCTCCTGTGACTTTTCCTAGACAATCACCAATGTCAGGGGTGAGGGTAGAGATCAAAGATGGTTTGGGCTTCAAGGACAGTATAAGGGAGACTGGATATAATGAGTCCATCCCTGAGAGTCTAGGTGAGGCAAAGGAACTGGGGAAATTTGGCAGCGGCACAGTAGATAGAATGCTGGGCCTAGAGTGAAGAAGACCAGAGTTCAAATCCAGCCCCAGACATTTACTAGCTGTGTGATCCTGGGCAAGTCACTTAACCCTGATTTTCTCAATTTCCTCAATTGCAAAATGTGGCTAATAATGGCACCTACCTCCTAGGGTTGTTGTGAGGATCAAATATGATAATTGTGGAGCATTTAACACAGGGCCTGGCATATAGTAGGCACTATATAAATTATTGTTGTTATTATTATTATTATATTCCCCACTCCCATACCTTTTAAATTCCTGAAATCTTCCCTTCATATATTTTCTTCCAAAGGCCAAAATCCTTTCTAGAAGAAGGATGGAACAGTAGAAGAAACACTGGACTTTATTTGGATTTAGATGACTTGTCTCCAATACTAAATGAATGAATGAATGATCAATTCATCTCTTGCTCTCTGACTCTCATTTTCCTAGTCTGTAAAATGGGTGGAACTCTTCCAGTTCTAACATTCCATGAGTCTGTGTTTCTTCAGCCAACAGACCCAAAGTCTGACTATCTTTATCATTGCACAATCTTGACTCTAATACAGCCCAAAGATACTAATGGGGTCAGAGAGACTTCAGAGAGAGGAAGGACAGAATTTACATTAGAGAATTAGTATTTAGACCCATTCAAATCTGAGACTACCTGGTTTCAGCCTTGCCTTGTATAAAATAGCTGATAGCTTTGTTGGTGCTCACACAGCCAAAGTCAGGGACCAAGGCCCAGGTCATCTGCAGCTAGGACCTAGTGAGTTTTCCCATGACATTTGATGGCCAGCTTGACCCACAGGACAGGTTCTGACCTGTCCCTCTCCAGGATAGAGGGGACAGGGGAAGAGAATATACACTTATGGAGCACCTACTATGTGCCAGGCACTGTGTTTAGCACTTCACAATTATTATCTCACTTGATCCTCACAACAACCCTGGGAGGTAGGTGCTATTAATGTCCACATTTTACAGATGAGGAAACTGAGGCAGAGAAATTAGGTGACTTACCCAGGGTCACATAGCTAGTAAATGTCTGGGGCTGGATCTGAGCACAGGTCTTCCTGACTCTATTCACTGAGCCACCTAGCTGCCCAGGTGAAAAGAAGAGAAAGAAAGGGGTCGTGGAAGGACCAGTGACTGACTCCTAACTTCTCCACTATGTTCTTGTGTTCGTTGAGAGACCCAAGTGCACCAGACTACTCACTCACCTGTCCTGTCATCCACATCATCAAATTCCACCATGACAGAATGTCCATTATTGGAGATGCTTAGCGACATGCAGGACTCATAGGCCAGGACCAGGGGCTTCAAAGTAGGGTCATAGACAGCCCGACTGGAGACAATGTCGATGGGAGACTGGCGGTCCCCTTGGGCAATGGGGTATAACTTGTGCCATTCAGAGGGACCTGTGCAAGCAGGATACCAGAAAATAAGAGCATCAGCCCTCCACACCTTCTCTCACTCTGTCCCCTTTGTCTTCTCCTACCTGGTATCCCCATCTTTGGTATTCTACTTCTCCTTCCAGAATGGGCTCAAATGCCATTACCTACAGGAAACTTTCCAAAATCCTCCCCTCGGTAAGCAACCTCTCCTTGCCCTGCCTTCAGAGCAATTCTGAACTCCTCTTTTGGACTCCTATTCTAATGTATATCACATATGTCCATATGCCAAGCTGAGAATCTCTACCAGCCTGGCATTGCCTTAAGGGCGGGGACAAATTCTTATTTATCTTCCTATTTCTCCCAGTACACCGCACAATGCATTGTTCTTACTGGTTACTTACTAAAGCTGTTTTTTGTTGAATGACCAAGAGGGACATTGTAGGACAATTTGGGTAGGACCAGAGTAGTTCTCCCCGAAGTCACCTCCCCCATTCAGGACAGCTCAAAATATCCATTCCCTCCTTTAATAGCCCAGAATGGTAGTGAGCATTGTCAGCCTATGACGTTCTAGCCTAACCGCCATTAACACACTAGGACCTTGAGCTTCCCTGATTGAGGCAGTAAGGTATCACAAGTCAAGAAGACCTGAGTTCAAATCCCACCTCAGATACTCACCAGCTATGTGACCTCGGGAAAGTCATTTTGACATCTGTTTACCTCAGTTTCGTCAACTATAAAATAGGGATAATAACAGCAAGTACCTCCCAGTGTTTTTGAGGGGACCATGTGAGTTAATAATTGTAAAGCACTTAGAACAGTGCCTGAAACATACTAAGTACTATATAAATATTAGCTATTATTATTATTATTATTCCTATTTAGGCCTCAGTCTCTTCTATCAAATGAGAAAGCTGGATGAGATCACCTCTAAGGTTTCTAACAGTCTGTGATCCTTATTTGGAAACATATCTAAATGATGAGATATCAGGATTAGGGATGCTCAAAGACCAGATCTCACCCAACACTTAATTTATAGGATCTTTAGAAACCAGACTCACCCAAGATCCTCATTTTACAGATGAGGAAACTAGAGCTGAGAGAGATAAAACGACTTACCTAAATTAATAAAAAATTCAAACCCAGGTCCTCTGACTCCAATACTAATATTCTTTTCCACCTCATTATGCTGCCCCCAATCCTTAAATGAGTGGCTACTTCTCAAATATCTGACCCTCCTAAAATATGTATGTATGTATGTATATATATGTGTATATACATACACATACATATACATATATATGTATATATGCTTTGGTAAAGGAAAAATATAAAGGTAAAAATAAAAATAAAGAATTTACAATTAAATTTCAGCTCTTTGGGAACTAAAGGGAGACATACATGGAAGAATTTCTCACATAGCCAAACTACTAGAATAAATATTAGAGGGAAGCTAGAGTCATTTTTCCCTAAAAATCTTCAGGAGAAGAAAGGACTGTCCTTCCCAAATGGCTTAGCAGTCATATGCCTACAGGTAGGCAGCTGGACTAGCTATCTCTCCAGCTAATCCAGTTCAGTATTCCGTGGCTTGACATTTCCCCAATATATGGACCATTCAAGACATCTGATTCTACTTTTCCACCCCGCTCCAGCCTTTAGGTTTATCTCATCCCTCTCGAGGGAGAAGGAAGATTCAAGATGTGACCACTTGGGCACTTATTAGAATCATAGGATTCTAGAGAGAGCAACTGTGGGTGCCCGTTTACAGACGAAGAAACTGGCTCATCAAAGTTAAGTGACTTCACCCACAATTATACAGGTACACAATTATACAGAGTCAGGATTCAAATCTGGGGTCTTTTGGACTCCAGATCCATTGCTCTTTCTATCAATTCTGGTGACAGGTTTAGGGGAATGGAAGCTTTGATTACTATGAGGTTTTGGTTAAGCTGTGGATTTGATTTCTCTAGAATACCTTGCTCACAGTAGACATTTAATAAATGTTCATACAGTAAACTTGCAATATGTCTATTCCCCTAAAGTCATAGGAAACCTGGTGCTCATGAGGGATTCCTTCAGTGAGGAAAAGTCTGGTCCAGGATGATCTCCCCATGGATACTCTAGGACTCCTATAATCTGAGCAGTGTTAGGGACCCACCATCTAGGATAAGGAAGGGACAGACAGATTGCCTATGTTTCACCATTAAATCCTCATCTACTCTTAAATTGGGAAAGCCATTGCATATGGCTTGGTCTTCAATATAAGTGAATGCATATCCACACCTGGGCACACATATGTACACTCTCAGGAAGGCATATTCAGCTTTGAAAAACACCCAAGAACATAATCACTCGGCAAGCATGTATCAATGTTCACTTGTTCATACCCCCACATACACAAATCACACAATTTATGTAAGGCTAATTGGTAACAAGGGGAACATTGCCTCACTTGCTCTGCACAACACGCGTCCCTACCCCCCATTTACAAAGGCAAGAGCTAAGCTTTAAACCAGGGTCTACACAGTCCAGAAGTCTTAACCTCCTACAAAGCACTTGTGCTCCGGCATATAACCAAGCATTCTAATGCCTTGCCATACGTGTATGCGCACATACACGCACCTATCAAGCATATGTTAACACAAATGCAAACCTTTGCGCACAATGGATCATACAGGTAGGTGGATATACTTATAAAAATCCACACCTCCCTGCCTCTTACCCACATCCAGGCATTTGTACCCAGCCACACATGTGTAATTCACACAGAAAATCCCCAATGTCCCTCCAGCATCCCCCACACAAACCCACCTGTATAGGAAGGCTCATAACACTTGTCTCCCTACTGGCTCCCTGACTCTGAGGGTCTGCCCTTGGGACATTTCTACCACTCCATAGGGAGAACATCCTTCTATGACTATTTTTACCAGAGGCTGGTGGGGCTTCCTCCCTCTCCCCCTTTTTAGCTTCATAAATTTTCCTGGGGAAGCTGTGGCAAGTGCTAGGATTCAGATCAGATGCATATGACTCAGATTCTCACAGCTCCTGCCTCTCTGTTTATTTTTAAATCCCCCTTTTTTTTTGGCCTGCTGTAAATCCTCTCCCAGGAAAGCAGCTCCTCTGATGAGGCTCCCCACCCTGAAAGGGCAGAGCTGACTAGGGCTACAGGCCACCCTGCCCCGTAAGGGCTGGTGACTGTTGATGAGTACCTGTTGTGCTGCTCTGATGAAATGGGCAGGGCAAGAAAACGATGTCAACCCAAACTCCCCCTCCCTGAGTGCAAGGGAAAGCTCAGAGTGGAAACGTACCCACGCTGGGCCTAGATCAGGTGAAATCAACATGCTCTTAGGTATGAACTCTCTGTACTCATTCCCTTCTGATTTTGTTATTGCTCATCTCCATCTCATTTGCATCTCTGTCTTTATTTCTGTCCTTGTTTGCTTTTGTCATTCTCTTTTGTCTGTTTCTGTCTCTCTGGTCCTTCTCTCTATCTTTCTTTTTTGTCCATTTCTCTCCTTGTGTCTGTCTTTCTAAGCCTCTCCATGTACCTCTATCTCTTTCCCTACCAGTCTTTCTACCTCTTTCTCTTTTCAGACACAAGTGGACTTAGGGCCATTGCCATACCATCCACCCCCAACCCCCCAAAAGCCCAGAGTTAAAGTGGAAGCCTTGACATACTTTCCATGGATGATCTCGGCACCACACGTTCCTTCCTAGTTAAAAATGACCCATTCCTACTCTCTGGCTCACATTCTCCATCTTCCTCTTTTGTCCCCTTTTCTCCCCCAGTCCTTGACTGAACACCTAAATGTATTTTTCTTCCCAGAAAAGGACCCAGTCAGATGCACAAACCTCTCACACACTGGGGGCCTTCCTTCCAGGATGGGGGCAGGATCCCCCTCTTTTCCACTCCCATGACCCTCCTCTTCAGAAGGCTGCCAGGTCAACATGTGTTTCAATGAGTTCTCACTCCAGGTAGCTAGGGGCCAACTCAGGTTAGGGCTTCTGCAGGCTGGGGTCCCCCCCCCCATTCTACCCTGGTAGGCATGGGAGGTGGGGGGATATGTTATCTGTAGGACTGAGGCTGGATGCAGAAAGAGGAGCAAAGTGTAGCTCAGACTTTGCACCCACTTAGCAGTGTCCTGGTCTTCTTGGGAAATGGAATTTGGGGTCATAAGAGCATAAAATGTGATTTAGAGCTTTGAGATCATCTAGCCCAACCTCCTCATTTTAACAGCAGGGAAACTGAGACCAGAGAAGGAAAGTGACTTGCCCAAGGTCATACTGAGGGGGTAAAGAGGAATTCTGGGTCCAGGCCAAAGAACAGATCTGAGGAAGTGGATCTGGATTTGGGAGGGGGGGAGGTGGAGAAGGGAACTAGTTCCCATCTAAGAGTAGGGTGCAGATTGGAGATGGAGAGTCTGGGGGTCCAGGATGAGGGGGAGGGCACAGGATTCCAAACCAGGGTAGGAAGGAGTTGGGCTGGAAGTCATGCCTGGGGGAGGGAGCCAGAGGGTATCTAGGAGGTGAAAGAGGCTCTGGGGCATGAGCTTGGGAAGCGCGGGCGGAGATTCCTGGGTCTCCGTTAGGAACCGAAGCGGGGAATCCAATCCCAGCTGAAGGTGGGAGGTCCCGGGTCCTGCCTGGAAGCAGGAGCCCTGGGTTCACGCTGCACTTAGGAGGGGAAGATCCAAGGGGCCAGGGGCCTACATTTCGGGGCGGGGGTACCATGTCTGTCCTCCTACCGTCCTCCTGGCCGTAGCCCCAGCCGTGGTGGCCGGTCATACCGCCGCCGCTGCCGTAGCCGCTGCGCACCTGTCTTGGCTATAGCTCTGGCTCCCAAGGCTCGCTCTGCGCGGAGCCGCCGCTGAGCCCCAGCTTAAAGCCTCCAGCGGCTTGGCTGCGGGTGGAGATCCTTGGGGACCCGCCTCCCGCACGCATTCTGCCCCACCTCCTCTCTCCCCCCACCCTACGGGGCCAAGAGCTGTGGAGTTGGGGAGATAATGAGACGGGGACTGGAGAAAGGGAGGAGGACTTTTAGCCGCATCCGAGAGAGGCTGGTTGGGCACGTCTTTCCTAGATTGGGGGAACCCTGAGGGGTGGGCAAATTGGCAGATGGGCAAGGAAAATTGAAGGAGGGGTGGTGGTAAACAGCTGCCGATGTGGTATGACTTGAGTAACTGCAGGCAGGTGTCATCAAAAACATCAAAAACCAAAACAACGCCCCCACTCCCCTCAATGTCCCAGGAACCTGTCTGATATCTAAAATTTCGCTATTAGAGATTCATTTATTGGGTTGGATCCTAAGACTTTTGGGATCCCATAGTTCTATTATAAATGAATGAATGAAGCATACTTAGGAGTGATGACACTTTAAACCTCTCTCTTTGAGTGACAACTGATTGAGAGAAACATTTCCTCTAAGGGAGATGGATCAGAGGACAGATGCCAGAGAGAGGGAACCTGTGTATGGGAGAGCCCTGGAAACAAATTTCACTGGCCTCCCTTTTGGAGGAAGTTGGAAGATTTTGGGAAAAGTCAGATCCAGACTCCATCCCCTCAGGATTCCCCAGAAAGGCAAAGCCCATTCCCCAGGAAAGAGGGGAAGTCAAAGCCCTCCTGGGACACAGTTCTGATGAGAGGGCTTCACTTTTGCCACTAAGAAGGGTTTGGGATCAAAAGAAACAGCTGATGTGTCTGGGCCACTTGGAATCAGAATTTTAAAGTTGTACAAACATAAGATCATCATAGCCAGAAAAGACCTTAAGAATTCAGAATGTTAGATACAGAAGTGATCATAGAGATCATTTAATTTGATAAAATTGTTAATGTAATTTTTTTTTTAGGCAATTGGGGTTAAGTGACTTGCCCAGGGTCACACAGCTAGTCAGTGTCAAGTGTTTGGTCTGAGGTCGGATTTGAATTCAGGTCCTCCTGACTTCAGGGTAGGTGCTCTATCGAGAGTGCCACCTAGTTGTCCCCTAATGTAACTGTTAATGTAATGACAGAAATTGTTAATAGCAAATGTACTAAGGTCTACCACTCCCTTAACTGTTCCATGTAATGTCACAATTTCATTACGGTCCTTGCATTCCTACTCTTAAGATATTTACTCTTGATTAGGTTGAGCTGAACCACACCCTAGGTACCCCCATCCAGAGATCTTGCCTTGGGTGGGGGGGAACCTGGTTCCAGCTGGATTTAGGCCTTTGATGTCCTTGCCCCTTTCCATTAGGATGCCTGAAGTGAAGGGCAAAAACAGCCAAAATGAAGCTGTTTTCCTTGCCCGAATTGCCAAGAGCCACTGATGATATCTGCTCCCCTTGTCCTCCCCAAACTATAAAAACTTTTTCATGGCTCTTTTTGGTTGAGAAATCCACTGGACATCCCCCAGGGTAGCAGGTCTGCTACCCTGCTATCTTAAGTAAAGATGCTTTATTCCTCAATTCCTGGTTTTGGCTTATTTTAGGACTTGATAAATTCAACCATCTCATTTTACAACTGGGAAAACTGAGTCTTGGAGAGAGGTAGTGACTTTCCTGAGATCCTACAATATGTGCTATAGCCTGGGCTAGAACTCATGCTTCTCTGTAGGGGAAGGACCAATTTTCTTTTGCTATCTTTAACAGAAATGATATAGGGGCAGCTAGGTAGCGCAGTGGATAGAGCACCAGCCCTGGATTCAGGAGGACCTGAGTTCAAATTTGGCCGCAGAATATAACATTTACTAGCTGTGTGACCCTGGGCAAGTCACTTACCCCCATTGCCTAGCCAAAAAAAAATTAATAACAATATGAATACAATATGAACATGAATAATAATTATATGAATATGAAAAATAATTGTATGAATATTATTATATAATAATAATTATATGAAAACCTGTTCTTTCTGTGTAGTCTTAGAGATCCAGCAAGAGAAAAATCTAAATGATAGAGTGGGGAGTAGGGTGGGGTGAAGGGAAGGGACCAAAGAGATGAGTGGTAGAGAGGCTAACCAGAGAATAAACTCTATAAGGGCAGGCTTACTCATCTTTGTATTTTCCCCAGGGTTCAGCATAGGACTCCAATAAATATTTATTATGTGCCAGGCACTGTGCTAAACAGAACTGGGGAATACAAAAAGAGGCAAAAAATAATACCTGCCCTCAATCTAATGGAAGAAGCAACAAGCAAACATTCGTTGAATGGAACTGAATTGAGAAGCTGACAAAAATGAAGGCATCTGAAGAAGGGTAGATTTGTGCAAACTAGAGTAAGGAGGTAGAACTGTGTAAACAAAAGGAAGGAGGGAGGTAGAGTCCAAACTGTGGCCTGTGTCAGAGAGGATCATAGAATATTCCAGCTGGAATGGGCCTTAGAGATCATGGTGCTGTGGACAGGATGCTGTATGTGGAGTCAAAAGACCTGGGTTTAAGTTCTGATTCTCCAACTTACTTATTGGGTGACCCTAGGCAAGTCATATAAGTTCTCTGGGCCTCAGTTTCCTCATTTGGAAAATGCAGGAGTTGGGATGGATGACTTCTAGTTCCACTCCTTCCTTTTGCTCAGGAGGAAATTGAGGCCTAAAAAAGGGAAATGTCTTGCCCAGAGTCACACACACGGGGTGGGGAGGTCGAGGTTGGTGTAGTCGAGACAAAAACCCAGGATTTCTGATCACCCAGCTTATTGCTTCTCACTGTACCAGGCTGCCCCTGCAGAAGTAGGAAGACTCTTGGGTGGGGACTAAGTAAAAGGAGGGCAGTGGAAGGCCTGTAAGCTGAAATTCATCTCTATGCTTTGTTACCACAGTAGAGAATTCTGCAAGAGACAGAAAAATTCCATGGTCCTCTCGAAGTGGATGGAATGCTGGGCTTGAGGTGGGGAAGCTTAATCTTCTTGAGTTCAAATCTGGTCTCAGAAATTTACTAGCTGTGTGACCTTGGGCAAGTCACTTAACCCTGCTTGCCTCAGTTCTTCATCTTTAAAAAAAAAGTGAGTTGGAGAAAGAAATGGCAAACTACTCCAGCATCTTTGCCAAGAAAACCCCAAAAGGGATCACAGAGTCTGACACCACTGAAACAATAGAACTACCTCCATTCAGTCTCAGAAGACTACAGATAGCCCAGCCCAGCCTCTCTGCCTTGGGTGGCTGGCAACCCACCCACTGCCTCCCACCCACCTGAGCATGTGCATCTGTGCTGATAAAAGAAAGAGAGAGGAAGAGAGAAAAGTCATTAGGCTTATTTAATTATCTAATGAGGTCTCATTATCATTCCATTAATCATCCTCTGACAATAATAGCCCAAGGGATAAAGTCCATGAAAATTGAGGGTTAATAGAAAAAGGTGGTGCCCAACCATATATTTAACCTGGAGGTAAAATGAGGTATCTTGAAGGGAAAGAAGTCACACGGATTGCAAAGGTCTCTGATTCTTAACTAGGACTTTGACACTAGGCTTGTCATGGCTGGACCTGGCCACCTCAAGGCCAGAACCTGTTGTCAATCTTAATGTAGTTAGAGGAAGGTGGAGCCTTCTTCCTGAATGGGAGCCTGCTCTTCCCCTCCCCACCCACCCCTCTCTCCCCCTCGATCTTATTCTTCCTATTTCTTTTTTCTTCTCTTCCTCTTTTTCTTCTAGACCTGCCCAGTCCCACCCCTTATTTTTCCACTGTCCCACTCCAAGGTACTATCTCATCCATAAATCTAGAGTACAAAGACCAATCACATCTCCAGGGGGCAGCTGGAGTAGAGAAGGGAGAAGTGAAGCAGGCCTGGGAACACCCGGCCTAGAATCTGAGAATTGTGGAATCGAGAAGTAGGAAATGGCTCAAAGGTTATCTACTGCAGTACAATCTCTACTCAGTACAAAAATCCTCTCTACATCATTTCTGACAGCTGGAAAAGTATTAAACTGAGCACCAAGGAGTCCTAGGTTCAAGCCCTAGATCTGATGTTTGCCTACGGTAGGACACTTTTAGATCTCGTGGAGATGAAGTGCTTGTGGAAACCAGTGGGGAACAGGCACTAGGGAAGAAAAGCTTGGGGACGTAACCACGGATTAGGGGTATGGGCACCAGCTAAACAGCTAAGATCAAATGCCTTTGTGGTTATCTAAAGAACTTCACACTTGGGACAGATAATGTTTTGTTTTCATGAGCCTTAGCCCATTGGGCTAAGACTGTCAAAGTAACAAACAGCCCCTGCTTGAGGGGAAAATAAATCAAGGAAAAGGTCCTCTTCCCTCTAGTCTGCTGGTGTTTTGGCTTAGTGACTTAGGAACATTGTCTCTAGAAAGACTCAAGTCTTTAAAACTAAAAGAGTATGACAGAGACTGCTCTTCTCCTGAGGAAGAAATGGCTCTCTAAGCCAAGGACTCTAACTGTAGCCAGAAGCTGGCAGCAGAGAACAACTCCACAACTATAAGTCCCTTAGGAGTGAGTGGCCAACAGCAATCATACGACCAATGGAAAAGCATCTGAAAGGGAGAAAATGTCCAATAAAGACAATTTATCTCATAGAGACCCTATACATCTGGTAGAGACAAAATGCTTGTGGAAATCAGTGAGGTGCAGGCACTGGGGAAGAAACATGGTGAGATGACCAGAAGAAATCAGTAGCCCTAGAGCTCCAGAGGCATGAATTGCTCTTTCATATGTGTCTTCACATGTTCCTTATGTGTGTGCCCTGCTTCATGTATTCCCTATGTTCATTCTTCCCACAAATGGCATGTTTATCTGTAGAAACTGTGCCACAGGTTTATATTTTTTGTTTACTTATCTGTTTATATAATCTCCCCTTCCCCCAGTAGAATATGAGCTCCTTGAGAATAAGGACTATTTTGATGTTAGGGTTTTTTTGGTTTTTTGGTTTTGGTTTTGGTTGGGTTTTTTTTCAATCCCTGGTGCCTAGAACACTG